AAAGAGGCTATCGCCAGAAACGATTATATCGAAAATGAATGTTGGGTAAATGCAATGGTAGAACATTATAAAGATTGCCCGAGAAAAAAGAATCAATTAACGAGAGAGAAGATATTAGACGTTTTGAAGATGAACGAAGAAGAGTTTAATAAAAACGGTGCTTCAATTGAAGATATGGAGCTTGTCTTCAATCATTTTACTATTCCCGTGAGAATTTTTGACATCATTGGGAATTGCATTTATAAAACAGAACATGTCAATAAAAAGATTAGAGCCTTTTATGGTCTCGTTAAGAATAATCATATTTACGTTATGAATTTTAACTTATCCAGCTTACAACAACATAAGGGAAGAGACTACATGAGTTTAAAGGTGAGAGCCCCTATTGATTTTCATTTAAACAAGTCCGAAGAACCAAGTGAATATATAATCTTCGATAAGATTGACGACATTATTAAACTTCATCAGCCAACAGAAGAAGAAATCAAAGGCAAAAAACCACAAAAAGAAAAAGAATATAAACTCATTCATTCGAACAACGATTTAATAGGTGTGTTGTGTGATATAGTGGAATCAGGTTATGAACCTAAAATAAGATATGAAGCAGGAACAATTAGTCAAATAAAATTAATATTTATGAAGAACACTTATATAATAGCTACACAAAATTTAATTCCTTCTTCCATTGACGGAAGCGTTAGAGTCAAATGTGAGACAACATTCAACAATATGAACAAGGCGATGTTTAAATTTAATAAGGCTTTGTTCAATCCTTTGCATAAATCCTTTTATACAGATACTGACATTGATGTATTAGACGAATACCGAACAATTGTGCCAAGTGGCAAGTTGGAAGACACATACCGACACATTGAATATTATCAAAAGTTTAACCAAATGACAGGTAAAGTTGAAAATCGAGAATCTCATTATTTTATAGACGCTACGCATAAGAACGCATGCGAGATAGATATGACCAAATCATTTACACACGCCCTAACAAAAATGAAAAAAATACCAGTATTCAACCAATTCGACAAATGGATAAAATACAATGGTGAGGAAATCGAGGATTTAGTCTTATACACGGTGGAAGTGTATAAGGCTAATCTGTTCTTCAACAAGCGGTTCTGCCTTTGTTACGGAAAGTTTTTAACAAATGTTATGAATGATGATATCACCATTAAATATTATAAGAAGCCTTCCTTTATATATAATTGTGATTATAAAAAGATTGTTAAGGAATTAGTAGAAACTCATATCTCAGATGATACCCAAGAAGACACCAAACTAAAAAAACAAATAGCAAATGTAAATATCGGCTTGTTAGAGAAAGGAGTAACAACGGCGCAGAAATCCGTTTTATTCAAGGACTTGCGAGAAGCACAGTTGTATCAATATATGTATGGAGGTAAGATTAATATTATTAAGCATTTCGAGAGGGAATATGATGATGATGATGATGATAAGAACAAAGTAGGATTTTATAGACATTACGACAGCGATAGCGATGATGAGTTTAGTGATAGTGATGATGAAGAAGAGAGAGGGGAAGTGCCGGACGAAGATACAAAAAACAAAGGAAGATATTACGTTCTAAATGTAACAGACCACGCCGTTTTGAAAAATGGTTATCGTTATATTAAGGAGCTTTTACTTCAATATCATAACTACAGAATATACAAGGATTATAACACACTACGAGAAAATGACATAGAAGTCTTTAGCGTTAAAACAGATGCATTTACAATATTACGGAAGAATTTACAAAAGGCTATGAAGTTACTGAAGTTTGGTAAAGAGATTGGTGATTGGAAAGGAGTTTTAAATAACTTTGGTTTTCCCCATAAACAATATGAGATGAAAAAGAACGAATCGGTAGAAATACCCGAAGTTGTTAATGAAAGAACTATGTTAAAAGACGAATGGGATAGCAAAGAAGCGGTTGAGAAAGTTCTTGAACACAAGCACGTATTAATTAAAGCTTTATTTGCAGGAAGTGGCAAGTCACATATACCAAAGCAGATACAAGATAAAAGAATATTGTTTGTAACGCCTACCAATAATTTAAATCAAGAATGTGGAGTAGAAGCAGTAACCATTAATACATTCTTTTCTATCCAAGTCGGCGAGGAAAAACTGAAAGATTTTGAACATTCCTTTTATGATGTTATCGTTTTTTACGAAATTTATTTTAACAGTATTCCTGTTTTAGCAAGAATAAAAACGTTTGTAGAAAAGAATCCCGACAAAATTATCGTAGCAACGGGAGACGAACATCAATTGCAGGGCGTCGTGGATATAACTAATACGCAAGATTATAGGACATACTTGGACAGTTGTATAAAACAAATTTTTAAACATTACATTTATTTAGAAGAATGCAAGAGACTAACCAAAGAGGAAGACAGAATCAAATTAAAAAATATTTATCACGATATATTTAAAACCGATATGACAATTAAACAGATTATTGAGAAGTATTTTAAATACACAGAAGAGGTAGAACTCATTGATAATAACGTAGCATACACCAACGAAACGTGTAGAAAAGTATCGCAACATATTAGAAAAGAAAGAGGTATAAAAGAAGAATATGTCGTAGGCGATGAAGTTATTTGTCGTGTTTATACGAGATACTGGATATCTAAGTTTAATGTTAATCTTAAGTTCAGAATTACGGAAATAAAAAAGAATACGGTAACGCTTTTAAATGAGGCTACAAGGATACTACAAGAAATAAGCCTAAAGAAGTTGAGACAAAATTTTATTTATGCGTCGTGTTACACATGTCATAGCAAACAGGGTTGTTCGATAGATGGCGATGTTATTATTTACGATTGGATGTATAATTACGTTTCAAAAGAGTGGCTTTATACAGCAATCACAAGAGCCAAGGATTTAAATAAAATCAGGTTTTATAAGAACGAGATAACAAGAGACATTAAGCAATCAGAGATTGAAAAGTATTTTAATCAAAAGGTTAAACAATACAAATCACAAGATATAGAAGCAGGACGCCCAATAAATGAAGAGGACTATGTAAATGTTGAGTGGCTCATGAGTCAATTAAAAAACAGATGCACCGACTGTAATGAACCCTTTATAGTTGAAAGGGATGGTCACACTCTCACTACCAATTTAACAGCCAATAGGCTTAACAATGACAAGGCGCATTATATAAGCAACTGCAATAGCATGTGTGTTATGTGTAATTGTTGCGCAAGATAATTCGATAATATATATAATATATATTATATATATTATCAATGTCAGACAAAAATAGGATTATTTCGGATATTTATTTTGATAGAAGCGGGTTCGGAAGCATTGCCACAACTTTTAAAGATGCTAAGGCTAAAGATAAGAGTATTAAGTTAGCGGATGTTAAAGCATGGTATGAAAAGAACGTAGATAGGAAAAGACCAATGTCAGGATTTAATTCGTTTATTGCGCCTTATGCGTATTATGAATATCAAATAGACTTATTTTCTATTACAAATAATGATTTGGATAATCAAAAATTTAATGTTGGTATGGTAGTAATAGACATATTTAGTAAATTTGCGGTTGTTGTTCCGATTAAAAGTAAGCTTCAAGACGACGTATTAGCGGGAATAATAGAAGGAATAAACAAAATGGGCAAAAAACCAGAACTTATTTATTCGGATGACGAGGGTAGTTTAAACAGTAATGTTATTAAAGAATATATTGAAAGCCAAAAAATAGAAATACACAGAACCCGAACACATCCAGCATTCGCGGAAAGATTCATCCGCACGTTTAAAAACATGTTGTTCAAAAGAGTCGAAGCGGATGTGAAAAAGGGTAAAGAGAATATTCAATGGATTGATTATATATTTGAAATAATGATAACATACAATAATAAAATGGTTCATTCGGCTACAGATTTAACACCAAAAGAAGCACGAAAGCCCGAAAACGAACTCAAAGTTAAGGCTAATATCGCAATGAATGCAACAAAAACCCGAAAGTATCCCGAATTAGAGAAAGGCGACAAAGTCAAGATATTTAAGAAAAAAGATAAATTGGATAAGGAACGTGTGAGCAATTGGAGCGCGAATTCATATAGTATTGATGATATTAAAACAGTATTGGAACAAAAGCATTATTATATCAATGGGCGCGGTTATTTGCGCCACGAGCTTTTAAAAGTGTGAGAGTGTTTGAGCCAACGCTTTGAGCCACACATTTGAGCCAAAGTTTAGGGTTTTAGGGGACGCAACCACAAAAGCCCCGAATGCTAAACCACTATGTAGGGTTTTAGGGATTTTTTTGTTGTTGAGCCAACACTCGAGCCAAACATTAGGGTTTTAGGGGCGCAACCACAAAAACCCGAAACTACAAAACCCACCCCGAAACTAAAACACCCGAAACTAAAAACCAAACCCAGAGAGGAGGGCGCACCGAAGCGTCGAAGTTGTTGTCGCCAATGCCGTTCGTGTAGAGCTTGACGACTCGCCAGAGGCTCGCGAGCTTCGCGACCTGTTATGTTTTTCGTCGAATGTTTCGTTGTTTACTAAAAGAGTGCATCGGACGAAGTCGGGGACTATTGATTTTATTTTTTCGCGGTCTATCATATTATTATTTTTGTGAATTTTATTGTGTTTCGTAGAATTTTACCTATGTATCTAAGGTAACCAATATTTTTTTAAATACTATATGCTTTGATTTTTTATTTATGGGGTTGGAGTGTGAAGTTCAAGATAGAACGCACATTTTGAGCGTCTGTCTCGCTCGGTTTCTCGTGTCGCAAGCCACGTCGCAGAAGTGCCCGCAAAAGTGTATTGAACAGGGGTAGTGTTCAACCTTCCTTGTTTTAATCATTTCCAAAGGGCACAACCACGATTGAACACAGACCCGCGGGATGGCATTTTTTACGTAAATTTTAGGTCTCTTAAACCATATCTAAGCACGTAATCTTATCGTCCTAAAAACACTATTGTTCAAGGGGGTGTGTTCATCCCTGCTTGGGTCACTCATGCGGTGAGACCTGTGGTCGGGGCATCGGAAGCATCAGTATCAGAAGCCTTCTTAACGAGAATGCCCGTGAGAGCCGATGTGAAGGCACTCCATCCAATCGAAGAATCGTCGTTGCCGAACTCATGCAACAGCATGAGGTGCGTCATGAGGATGGTCGCTTTGTCCATGGTTTCGCTTTGCTTTTTCATCTCGAACATCTCCGTGCTCATCTTACCGAATGCGACTTTCGCAATGTGCTGAATCTTGTGTTGCGTGTTGCCTGTCGAGGCGAGCTTATTCTGGATTTCCATCAGATCGTTCGCACTCATCTGGCTGAAAACCGACGTCACGATGGTCTTCTCGCCCTTGTCCATGTTCTGCTTGAGGTTCATCAGAACTTTCACGCACTCCGTAACGCTTGGGATGGTGGTGTTTGCGACTCTCATCGCCATCATTCCGAGGTCTTCATAAAGGTCTTTCTTCTTCTCATCAAGGTTCTTCGAAGACGCCAACGACGAGGCTGCCTTAAATCAAAAGCATTAAGTAACAATAAAATATTTATTCCTTATTACTAAACCAACCGATTAAGACGATGTGATGAGACAAATCAAGAAACGCGTTTCCCACCACCACTTCCGCCGAAGATGACAGTGACGGTCATAGAGCTCTTCGTGGGGCACCACTTTACCATCTCGCGGCGGGGGTGCTCTGCCATGTCGATGCCGTCGTCCAAGTTGTTCAGCATGAATCGGCATTTCTTGAGATGGCTATCCTTGTAGCCATGGAGTGATGTCAGAACGTTGCGAAGGGTTCGCAATGTCCCCTTTGCCGGCAAACTCACGACAACGGTCTTACCACCGCTTTGGAATTTGATGGTGGTCTCGATGTTGGGCATGTCCGTCTTCTGTTTCATGAGCGCTTTCTTCTTCTCCTCTCTCACCATCTTCTTCAGCATGCCATTAGCCGACTTGTAGCCGTTGAAGAAAAGGGTGGTGTAGTCCTTCAACATGTCCCTCAGCTTGATATAGTCCTCCTTCGTGGTGGCATCTGCGAGAATGCTCTGGATATGCTTCTCGAAAGCCTCCTTCGTGTAATCCATGAAGGTCTCGGGCACAGAAGGCGAAGGTTCGGCGGAAGAACTCGCCCCAGCTCCACTTGGCGGGTCGGGGTTGTCGTCGCGGTCACGGTCGCCGCCGTCGCGACTCTTTTTTTCCACATCTTCGTCTGCTGTGTCAGACGCGTCACTTCCTCCGGTCTCCTCGCCTTCAGAAGAACTACTCGCATCATCCTTCTCATCGCGTCCCACGCCAGCCATTGCCATCTCCAGAGCTTGTTCTTCCAGAGAAGGGTAGCCAGTCATGACTTCACGAAGGAAGGCAAAGGGGAATGTTGGATGAATGCTTTGAACACTCGTTGCTATTGATTTACAGCAACAACTGTCGCTCATGCTTTCAAATGCATCGCTCACCGCATCGTCACAAGTTGCCCAAACGACACGAAAGCTTTCAAAGCGAGACCGGCGCACCAGTTCAAGTTGATGAGGTCGTCCGCCGATTTAATGTAGTTTAATATTATTATTATTATATAATATTAAATTTCATTAGAACCACCTTGCCCCACTATAAGGCTTATTGTTATTCTTGGGTTTATGGTTTAAGGTTACGGGTTGAGGAATAGCGGGGATTTATGGGGGAAGGTGTTTTTTCTTGGGTTTAGGCTTGGGATTTTCGGGAATATGGTTTTACGGGGATTTACGGCTTGGGTTTTTGAGCTGAGATTTTGGGCTTGGGATTTCGGGGATTTGGGAATACGGTTTTCGGGAATTTTGGGCTTGAGATTTTATTTTGGGCTAAGGATTTCGGGAATATGGTTTCGGGATTTTTGGGCTAAGATTTTGGGCTTGGGATTTCAGGAATATGGTTTCGGGAATTTTTGGCTTGAGATTTGGGCGCCGAGTTGGCCAAATGGTTCCATAAATTTTTGGGGCGAGGTGTCGGCTATCTGGGGGAAGGTGGCTGAACTCCGAAGCGCAAGCCCCAGTTCCACAGCGGGAGGGAGGATGATCACATGAACCAAACCAACCAACGATTCCACATGCAAGCTCAAGGCCCAAGCCGTTCCACAACGTGTAAGGGGGATGACCAAATGAAGCATACCATTGGGGGGGAGGGTTGGGTGCGTGGGGGCGCAATCATCTATGCGCATCCATGTGTATCTATGGGCATGGATGTGTGTGTATGTGTGTATGTCTATGTCTATGTGTATGTATATATGTGTATGTGTGTGTACCTGTACGTGTACGTGTACGTGTACTTGTACGTGTACGTGCATGTGCATGTGCATGCATGTATGTTTGTAGGTATGTATGTATGTACGTATTTACCTAAATATATTTATGTATGTATGTGTATGTGATGTCTTGTTAGGTTAGGTTGGGTATAGATGCCAGTCCGGGGCTAACCGGGTCCTTTCCGTTATGGAACCGGGTCCTAGGATTTATGTTGCTGACATGATGGACATGTAAGAACACGTGTATATAGAACACGTGTTGCTGACATGATGGACATGTAAGAACACGTGTATATAGGACACGTGTTGCTGACATGATGGACATGCAAGAACACGTGTGATGGACATGTAAGAACACGTGTATATAGGACATGTGTTGCTGACATGATGGACATGTAAGAACACGTGTATATAGGACACGTGTTGCTGACATGATGGACATGCAAGAACACGTGTGATGGACATGTAAGAACACGTGTATATAGGACACTTGTTGCTGACATGATGGACATGTCAGAACACGTGTATATAGGACACGTAAAGCAACATGTCTGATGTCGTGCTGAAGGGGGGGGGGCAGGACGGAAAACAAATGCAACTACTGCAGCAACATTGGGCCTACGTCATGTGTGTTCTTGTGGCTCTATGGAAAGAGCGAGATGCTGGACATGTATAAAAAGATGTGTGCTTGTGGCTCAATAGAAAAATCAATGCCTGATAAACTTGGTTTGTTCGAAATGTGAAAACATGTACATCGAAAAATCAAAGCCATACTGACATAATTGCCTGTCCCAAGTTTTGTAGTTCACATGGAATTTCTTTGTTGCAGGATATTTTTGAAGTTATTTTGAAGATTCGTTTGTGCCGAGCAAGCCAAACAAATGCAACTTGGTGTTCTTGTGGCTCAACGAAAACAAGAAGCTTGAGATTTTGTGTTCTGAAACCCTAAAGTCAGCTTTTTGTACGATTCACAACGACTTGAAAATTAGTGTGTGTGTGTCATGATTAAACATGAAGGGAATCTAAGCTTTCGTAACGTCCAGCTCATGCCCTAAACCCTGGACCCTAAACTGTAATCCCACCCAACCCCCCAACCCGCCCACCCACTCCTGCAGGTAGGTATAGATAAGTAGATAGGCAGGAGGGAGGTACTTGTAGGTCTAGGTGCACCGGCAGGCTTCCAGGTCTCTAGATAGCTAGGTAGGCGGGCATGTAGGTAAGGAGGCATTGATCAGGAAAGAAGTTTAAAGGTAGCAGGCAAAAGTAGTTGTAATTAGGCATTCGCGCAGGCTCTGTCAGGATGTCAGGTCGCCACATCAGAGGTCTTCGGAGCCCCGTGCAGGGGCGTACCCGCACCAAGCCCTTGAAGGGGCTGCGGGATGAACCCCGAATAGGGGTGAGCTTGGACCCCGAACAGGGGTCGTCGGAGCCCCGTACAGGGGTGTGGATGAACCCCGAAAAGGGGTGAGCCTGGACCCCGAACAGGGGTCGTGAGAACCCCGTGCAGGGGTGTGGATGAACCCCGAACAGGGGTGAGCTTGGACCCCGAACAGGGGTCGTTAGAGCCCCGCACAGGGGCGTCCGATGAACCCCGAAAAGGGTGAGCCTGGACCCTGAACAGGGGTCGTGAGAACCCCATGCAGGGGTGTGGATGAACCCCGAACAGGGGTGAGGATGAACCCCGAGCAGGGGTGAGCCGGATCCTCAAAGACAGATGCAGAGAGAAAGAAAGAGAGAGAGAGAGAGAGAGAGAGACAGCGAAAATAATTAACGAAGCAAGGAAGGAAGCAAGGAAGGAAGGAAGGAAGCAGGGAAGGAAGCAGGGAAGGAAGAAGGAATGATCAAGATGAGGGTGTGACTGTAGATGCGAGGAATGAGCAGGCAGCAAGGAGTGATGTGAGGGAAGGAAGAGGCAGGAAAGTCATGCATGGATTCAGTATCTCTCTGCTCACTTTCCGTCTGTCGCCGGCCAACCAGGCTGAGACAGTCTGCGCATCGAGATCCTCGAAGAGCCCCGGCCTAAGCCACACCAAGACTTGACTGCTGCACCGTCGGTTGCTTCCAAGCTCAACATGTTGGACTGCAGCAGCTTTTCATCTCAAGATTCAAGGAAATCGCACCGTTTTTTCTTGGCGCCACTAGCGCCATGACTGAGCAAGTGTACACCGACGCGGAATGGGCGGCTTGGCGTCGAAGTCAAAACCCTGCAGGAAGCCACCAAAACCCTGCAGGAAGCCACGACGACACAGAGACGGACCCAACGAAGCAAGGCTTCACAAAGGAACTCCGACCCCTTCCGGATGAATGGAAAGTTGAGTGGAAGAAAGCTGAGAAGAACAAGCAGCACTCAGCCAATGACTTCAGCGGTATCAGGCGCCTCTGCAACAGAAGGTTGCAACAGATGTACAACCAATGGAAGAATGAGGTGGAGCACACGGAGAAGCAGGATTCGGCTTTCAACAAGCTCGCCATCATGACGCATAACAAGGACCGCATGGAAATCGAACGCTTGAGGGAGGTTGAGAAGGAAGCGATTTGGACGAAGAAAATGTACGAGGCGAAGATTGCGGACGACAATAAGAAGCACGAGGCCGAACTGGCAGCTGTAAAGAAGAAAGGCGAGGACATGCTGGACGAACTGGAGAACACGCATGAGAGAAACAACCAGGAAAGGGCTAAGAGGCTGTCCATCACGGAAGATACGTACAGGTACAAGTTCGAGGATAGCCAGAAGGAGATGAAGGTACTGACTGCCATGTATGAGAACAAAATCAAAGAGATGAACGCCGAGCACCAGGCACAGATGGCGAAAGAGAAAGAAGAGAACAAGAAAAAGTTCGACGAGAAGGTTTCCAAAGCCCAGACGGACATGACAAACAAGTTCAAGAGCAGGTTGAAGAGGCTCGAGGATGCACAGGTCAAGTACAAAGAGAAAGTCCTCACTGCAACGGGGCTTTGGAGACAGACACTGGCAAGGAAAGAGGATGAGGTCCTGCGGCTCCGGCTACGACTCCGCTTGCAGGAACCCGCGAGCTCGGCGCAGCAAGACAACGAAGAGAAGCTCAAGGACAGTAAGGCTTGGCCCGACAGTTCATTTGTCAGTTGTTCAGTCAGTGAAATGCGCATCTCTGACAGGAGAGTTTGCATCCCACGTCCCCGACGGTCGTTTTCACCCCGACCTCTCCCGCACGCAGCCCGAGCCTTGGTTTCATCACCGCAACCTTGTGCGACCCCAACTTCGCACGTTCCAGGTGGTGACGAGTCCGACTCTGACTTCGATCGGGAAGGAAAGCGATCCCGCTCGCCCAGATCCGACAGGACGGATTATCGCAGTAAGCAGTGAGACGGAATAACGGATTTCATAACGTAGCTGATGGCTCTGATCGTGACATCCCCATGGATTCGAGTCTTAACCAAAACAATCTGACATCTAGTGATTCTGAATCCGCTTACAGTTTCAAGAACACGACGAACTCCATGGTTGATGCGGCGGCACAGGGGCATGGGCCCGGTGGCCGTGTGAAGTTCCTAGAAAGACTTAGGACTTCTGACTGGATGGGTCATGAAGCCAAGAGCAGCATCGGAAAAAGTCGCATGCATCAGGGACCATTCCTGCATGACAACCCCGCCACCCCCCCCAAACCACCCACCACGAACCGGTCCCCCAACCAATTCCCGCACCCCTGATTCACACCCACCCACCCTCACCCAGCCACCTAACCGCCCCACCCATCCATCAACCACCCACCGAGAAACCCACCCACCCCCCCCAACCCCCCTGTGCTGGGCGGCCTGTTCGGTGCTTGCACTTAAGTGACAGACACTTCTTAAACACGGTGGGTGGTGATGTCTCTGACACGAAAGGTCAACGTATTCCTCGAGACCTACAAGCAGGACCGACTGCCACATGGAAGATCCGAAACAGCAAGAGCGACATCATGTCACTCTTGCTGTTGCGGATGTGTGGTGCAGGTCGAAAGCGACACGACCTGCACTAAGGTGCAAGAAGGCCTTGACGGTGGCTACATCATCCCAGAAGGTTCATGGTGCAGGACTGGTAGGTACCCGCTC